AGCAACCCCTAGAGATGTCTGTGTAAAAGGAAACTGGAAACTTTTTTTTTTTTTTTTTAAAGAAATGATTACTGTTTTCTTTTTATCATGGGAAGCTCGTTGTGTGCTGACAAATTACATTCTGACAGCTAGCCTGAGATTCAGACAGGCTTTGCCAGGGCCTGAATAACAAGGAATTTTCAGGAGCCAACAGTCTTCATTTATAGTTTTATGTGTAAGTGGTCCCTTTCATTGAATTCAAGAGATAAACAGAAATGCTAAATATTTGGAATAATTTTCAGATACTTCAGAAATACATCCATACTTGAAATAGCTGACAGATGTTGATATCATGCTTGTGACATGAAGGGATGTAAGTTTCTAAACCAGAGGGATGGGGACAGAGCCTCACCACCATTCACTGAGCTTTGGCAAGACCAAAACCTCAGTTTCCCCAATAAATTAAGATCAGGAAACAATGCATAGAGGGCAAGGCAGACAACTAAGTGGATAAAGGAGGTTGCTGCCAACACCAAAGACCAGGGTTTGATTCCCAGGACCCACATGGGGTCCTCTGGCATGCATGTGTGTTTTGGTGTGTATATGCAAATGTACAAATACACACACAAAATTGAGTAAGTAATAAAATTTTTAAATGTGTGTAAAGTATTTTACACAACAAGTCTACTAAATGGCATGACTATGACCACTTATTTATCAAATGAAAAAAATAAAGGCAAACAGAAAAATTAGCACATTAAACAAATATTAATGTATTAACACTAGAACTGGACCACTTTGGGTTTCAGGCCTCTATAAGGTTATTAGTAGATAAATTTCCCAGCAGGCTACAGGAAAGACTCATGACTCTGTGAGGTAGGAAACCTGGCAGGTATATTTCACAAAGAGCATTTCTTAAAACTTTTCAAAATGGTCTAAAGTTCTATATAGAGTCAACTAAAAAAAATGTGTGTGTGTGTGTGTGTATAGTATGTGTATATGGTGTGTATGTATGTAGTGTGTGTGTATAGTATATGTATATGGTGTGTATATATGAGTGTGTGTGTGTGTGTATAGTATGTGTATATGGTGTATATGTATGTAGTGTGTGTGTGTATAGTACGTGTATATGATGTGTATGTATGTAGTGTGTGTGTAGTATGTGTATATGGTATGTATGTATGTAGTGTGTGTATATAGTATGTGTATATGGTGTGTATGTATGTAGTGTGTGTGTATAGTATGTGTATATGGTATGTATGTATGTAGTGTGTGTATATAGTATGTGTATATGGTGTGTATGTATGAGTGTGTGTGTATAGTATGTGTATATGGTGTGTATGTATGAGTGTGTGTGTATATAGTATGTGTATATGGTGTGTATGTATGAGTGTGTGTGTGTATAGTATGTGTATATGGTGTATATGTATGTAGTGTGTGTGCGTCTGTGTATAATATGTGTATATGGTGTATATGTATGTAGTGTGTGTATAGTATGTGTATATGGTGTATATGTATGTAGTGTGTGTGCGTCTGTGTATAATATGTGTATATGGTGTATATGTATGTAGTGTGTGTATAGTATGTGTATATGGTGTATATGTATGTAGTGTGTGTGTGTATAGTACGTGTATATGATGTGTATGTATGTAGTGTGTGTGTGTATAGTATGTGTATATGGTATGTATGTATGTAGTGTGTGTATATAGTATGTGTATATGGTGTGTATGTATGAGTGTGTGTGTATATAGTATGTGTATATGGTGTGTATGTATGAGTGTGTGTGTATATAGTATGTGTATATGGTGTGTATGTATGTAGTGTGTGTGTATAGTATGTGTATATGGTATATATGTATGTAGTGTGTATATAGTATGTGTATATGGTGTATATGTATGTAGTGTGTGTGTATAGTACGTGTATATGGTGTGTATGTATGTAGTGTGTGTGTGTATAGTATGTGTATATGGTATGTATGTATGAGTGTGTGTGTGTGTGTGTTGAAGCCCAAAGCTGATGCCACTCTCCTCTTTATGTACCATGGCGGTATTTCTTACTAAACCCCTGCTCACAGATTCCCCCAATTCCAGCTACTGAAGCTAGACATCTTGCTCTGGTGATCCTGCCTCCCCTTCTGAGTTCTGGGATTACAGGTGGCCTTCATGCCTGTCTGGCTTTCACCTAGGTTCTAGCGATCTGAATTCTTGTCCTCTTGCTTGCCTGGCATGTCTTTTATTTATGAGCCACCTCCTAGACCAATAGGGAAGATAAATGTAATACATAACTCAGAAGTAACAAATGCCTAAGCTTTCAAGCTCCCAGAAGCTATGGTGAAAGATGGTCAGAGCTCCTCCAAAAGTTGCTGAAGACAGGGCAATGTCACAGGCAGAGTCACCCTTGAGGAAGGCTAGCACTGAGGCTGGGCAGCTTCTCTGCTCGTCTCAACGTTTACAACTGCGTCTCCTTCCCACAGCCTTTGTGCATTCTGCATCTCCCGGCTTGCTGTTACTAAACCCGTGCAGAGAAATGGCCAGGTTCCTCCTAAGCATTTCCTCATTTACATACACCCACTTTTAATCTTCCTTCAGTCCATAATCTTCGATTATTGGAAACAGTAAGACCTCATGGGAAAAACGCTAAAGCGCTGAACACAAACATGAAACAGAGTAAGACACTCTGAGATGAAAACCTATGTGTCCATTCCCATGGCCCATAAGATGCTCAGTGTATTTAAAGAATCCAGTTAGTAAGATAATGACTGGGGTGGGGGGGCTCAGAGTGTGAGGCTGTTTGAAAGAAAACAGCTCCTATATTTGAATACTTCGTCACCTGCTGGTAGAACTGTTTGTGAAGGATTTAGAAGTGTGGACTTATTGGAGGAGATTTGTCCCTGGGGTTGGGCTCTGAGGTTTAAAAAAAAAACCCATGTCATCCCCAATTACCTCCCTCTCTCCCCGCTCTCAGGATGTGAGCTCTCGGCTAACTGCTCCAGAGCCACGCCTACTTGTCTGCTACCATGCTCCCCATCATGAAAGTCATAAACGCCAACCCTCTGAACCCTTGAACCCCAAATGAAATGCTTTCTTCTATAAGTTGCTTTGGTGCTTTGCCATCACAATGGAAGAGTAACTAAGACAACGGGTAGATTGTCTTAGAAGTGTGAAGGGCAGGCATGCTCAAACCCCACAAAAATGTTGGGCCAAGCACTCAGCAGGCAGAACTAGGGACTGCTGAACCAAGCTAGCTATTCAGACTGGTCAAATCAGTGAGCTCTGGCTTCAGTGAGGGCTTCTGCCCCAATCATAAGGTGGAAAAGACCTCCACCTGCATGCATGTGTAGACATACATGGGAACACATACACATGCATTACACACACACACAATTAGTAGGAAAATGTCAACAAAAGGAAATGTTACTAAGGGTAATAAGATGTCAACAGCATGCTTTCAGGGTCTGACCGGGGTCTATCACTTTCATGCCTAAGGAAAGGGTGCCTCAGGGTAGACACCCAGCAAAAAACACATATTCAGAAGAGTCCCATTTGCCATCAGACTTCCATTGTGGAAGTCTGAAAAATGATTTCAAAGAAAGTCCCAGGGCTGGAGAGATGGTTCAGGGATTAAGAGCACTGGCTGCTCCTCCAGATTTCTAGCACCCACGGGGCAGCTCACAGCCATCTGGAACCCCAGTCCCGGGGGGTTGGCTTCCCTAGGCACCAGACATGCACAAGGTGCACAGACATACCAGCAGGCAAAAGAACCATACACATAGAAGAAGTTTTTATAGAAATTAAAAGGGAAGTCACTATGATAGCTGTAAGTATCCGTAAGAGACTGGCTCCCATTGCCACCACCACCAGCACAACCATTCTTCCTGCCAATGTCACCGTGTACACTACATTCACTCCTTCCCGCTAGGTGTGACAGAACAGAGCCTCATGACCCTCCAACTATGGTCAATAACTGGTTAAGACTTGGGTCGCTCCTGGCTGTTGCTTAGGGTCTCAGACAAAACAAAGAAACCCAGTTAGATCTGCACATTAGATAAGCAAAGGATGCTTTTTAGTGTAAAGGTGTTCGAATATGGCCCCGGGACATACCACACACAGCTTCCTGGGTTCCATGGGATTTTCTGCATGTTCTACAAATATTAACTCACCAACTAACTTAAAATACACAGGGACATAAACTCATGCCACTAGACCGACGATCTGAGATCAGAAAGAATAAACCGCTCCTTAAGGCTTTCGATTTCAAACATTATGCATGCTATAATTAAGATGTTTTATGGGTTGTCACTGATTCAGTGCAAACAGAAATGCAGAAAGACAGACAAAGTGGCAAAGTAGAATGCAATGGGAGCACCAAGGTCTAGGTGTCTGTCCTTGCTCACTGAACGTGACCATGAACAGATTGCTGTTCTTGCGCGGAGGAGGGAATGTCCACAATGTGAAGGAGAAACGAGAAATCTTTAAATGAAGCTTCCCATCTTTACAGCAAAATAAAGAGCACGCATTTGAAGAATGGGAGTGGGGTGGGGGTGGGACCATTACAAAAAGCAACTAGGCAGGAGGGGTTTGTTCTAGCTCACAATCACTGGTCACATTCATCACCGTGGCAAAGTCACGGCGGCGGCGGCAGGAACTTGGAGGGCTAGTCACATAACACTCATAGTCACGAGCGAGGAGAAGCAATTGCACATTTGTCCCTGCTTGTGCTCATCCTAGGGAATGGCACCATCCACAGTGGGCTGGGTCTTCCCCTAATGGCGCCATGGGCAAACCCAATGCAGACAAACCCTCGCTAAGACTCTTCCCAGGTGACTCTTGGTTATGTCAAATTAACAATTAAGGATAACCACCACAGTAGATGACCCAGGGCAGACCTCATTTCTACTGGACCAGGTTTCCTAGTTTGCAATAGGAGATATGGACAAGATCCTTTGGGAGGACTTTGCAGCCTCCAGATCCTATTGTGCCTCATAGTCTTGGAAAAGTCACTTGATGAGAGATGCCTGTTACCTCTGCAATCATCCTGTTGGTGTCCCCCAAGAAGAGCAAGTTCAAAGCTTCCTCCTCAGTTGTTGCCTGATGAAGAGACAGGTTTTTCAGGTGAATGTTCTGCTCAGGGTCCTCCAATATCGTCACCTTCCTGGGGGAAAAGGAAGCAAGAACAGGTATTGCAAGGACAACCGGGAAATGTCGCAGTAGTCGTTCTGAAACCATCTAGTAAGAACAGACCACGCCAGATAGCTACTGCTGAATTAGCACTCAACACTGACTCCTAGAAAGTGCCCACCACTGCACTCTCCAGGTCATTAGATCAAACAGCAAGCTGTTAACTTTCTACCTCTGTGTGTGTGGGGGGGGGGGGCAACACACTGATCTTTGCATTCAGTTTCATCATGCCCAATGTGCATGAGATCCTAAAGTACAGTTAGCTTACAGAGGATTGAAGCCAGGGTAACCCTCTTGGAGGGGTTCTCTTGGAGGGTGGTACACTGAGGAAGAGATGGAAGAGCTGGGCTAAAGAAACCCAGGATGTAGTTTTATGTGGTGGTTTCTTGCTTTACAAATAAAGGAGGTGAGGTGTGGCTGTGGCTTGCTCCTTCTCTCTGATCTTCAGACAGGCTTTATTTGTACAGTTTTATTCTGTAGACATATGAAATTTTTAAGGATAAAGAAAAGTTAAAATTTAAATAAGGAAAAACCTTATTTAGGATAATGTTAACTTTCAAATGACGATTTTTCAAATACCATAATTAATTTTTTTCCCTTCTTGCAAGGAAGTTTCTGGCCTTTTCGTGTGTAATTTGTGGACACTTAAAATACTAAGGGTGGTAAGAGAGGGTAACTTGCCCATCACATCTGCAGACAGTGTGTCCCTGAGGGGTCCTTTCCTGCAGACAGGTCCTTGTCACCCACTTCAATAACACCCACAAGATGGAAAACTCCTCTCTCTTAGTGAAAACAAATGCAGTTTATTTTTTAAACAAGACTTATAAGTGAGCTTGTTTAAAATGCTTAGAAGGTCTGAAGGCTCTTATAATTGATATAGATGGTCTGTGTTATAATTGACACAGATGAGCTGTGTTATAATTCACATAGATAAGCTGTGTTCTATTTTGAGCAGACTCCTTGGCCTTGGATTTTGCCTGTGACCAGCTCAATACACTTTGGCTAAATTCAACTTCTTGGGACATAGAAGACAGGATTCTTTCTTAACTCCAGATTTCACCAGGAAGATGAGAGATATTGAGTAAGAATTGAAGATGAAGTCAGATAATAAGGGATGGGATGGTAGAAATTTAAAGTGAAAGGGGAGAGAATCCACGCACTTGGTGTGAGTAAAAGAATTGCCCATCCCCAAGGTGCTTGCCTATAATGAAGGAAGATAAATATGGAGACCGGATTCCACTCCTTCCTGCCAGACCCCAGAAGGAGGGTCTCAGAGAAAGGAAGGCGGTAAAAGCTCTCCTTAACTCCTTACTCCTACCACAGCCCTAACAGTAGCCTTTCCTAACCAAGGCATTCATCCTAATCCTAGCCCTAGACTGAACGCTAATCCTGGCCCTAGCCCTAACCCTAGTACTCACTAAAGCCCTGACCCCGAGTCTAACTCCAGTCCTAAACCTACTCCTGTGCATGGCCACCAGGGGTCCCACCCACTACACCACACTGTCTCACCGACATTTCTCACAAGGCTTTCTTATTTGATTGCTCCTGTGCTATCTGCATATCAGAGATTCTCAAAGCTCTGGGTGACTGGGTAGAACTACTGCTCCCTTAAAGGTGGGTACATACCGAGGCCTATTTTCAGTCTTTACTTTCCAGCCAGTTCCCTCTGCAGAGAGACCTACGGGGACATGGGCAAGGCAAGTGAACTGCTAAGTGTCTGACCATCGGAGGCAGGCAGGATAATTTCTATGGGGCCCCCACTTAGCGCAAGGAAGAAAGCATTAGCTCCTCGTTGTGGTCACTGGTGTTTGATTTGCTCTGTTTTCCTTCTGGATTATTTACAGCCTTTGGTCCTGATGTGGCTGCTCTTAATGGGCTTTTTAATACTACTTTTTAAATTCAGTGGACCAATTAAATACAAGTATGACTGACAGGCGTTAGCCTGGCTTGGCCACTTTGCTCAGAACCCAGTTTGCATGCTCTCAGGGTTTTCCCTCAGGTTGGTTTCAGCTGTGTATTGTGACTTTTTTTTTTTTTTTTGGATGTTCTGATTTCATGTCTATGGAGTTTTTGAAAGGCAGATGCAGATGCTGGCTAATGTCGAAATTCACTGATCGCTCTCAGCCTGCTAAACTCTCATCTGTGGGCACCCCAGAAGAAGATCCACCTCTGACATCCCGGAACGGTCTGTCTGTTTCCGAGAAAGAGCCTTACTGTGTAGCCCTTGCTCAGTGGAATTTGCTGTGCAGACCAGGCTGATCTTGAACTTATGGAGATTAATCTGTGCACTCCTCCCGAGTGCTGGAATTAAAAGATTAGACGTGTGTGCCACTGTAACGAGTACGGTTTTTCTGCCTGCCGCCGCCCGGTCTTGTCCTGCTGCCGCGCCAGCCCCAAATAACACTCAGAGACTCTGTATTTGATACAATGCTGTTGGCCCGGTTACTTGTTTCTTATCGGCTAGCTCTGCCTTAATTATTAACCCATTTCTGCTGATCTATGTATTTTCACATGGCCTTCTCTTACCAGGGAGCCGGCGGCATACTGCTTTCTCCAGACTCTCCATCTTGACTCCTCCTTCCTACTTCCTATTTCCTCCTTGTCTCCTAGTCCCTCCAATCTTCCTTTCCTATTGGCCAACAGTGCTTTATTATTAACCAGTATGAGAAACATATACAAAATGACATCTCCCATCATGCCACCATACCCAGCTTCTTATGCACGTTGAGTCTCTCTCTCTCTCTCCTCTCTTTCTCCCCCTCTTCTCTCTCTCTCTCCTCCTCTCCCCTGTCTCCTTTCCCTTTCACCCCCCCTCTCTCACCCCTCTCCCCTCCTCACTCCAGTTAGGGTCTCTTTTGCCATTTCTTCATGATTTTTCTCCTGGCTTCTGCCCCATGCCTTGGCTGTGTTGCTCACTGCCTGGCCTGCTCTTGCTGGCTCACAGTATCACTGGGGTACTCACTGCCAGCCTGTCAGCCGCCCCCTGCCCCCCCCAGCCTCTGGAAACCCTGCGCTGGCCACTCCCTCTTGCCATGATGCTTACTGGGAAATGAGAATGTCCTCCACTCTTAACTACTGTGGGCATCGTTTTGAAGGGGCAATGAACATCAGTAGTAGACGTTTTCCACCAAGCTGATTCCTTCCCTAACAACCCTCCCACGCCCCCTCCTCACACCGCAGCCATTATTTCCTCAGACTTCCATCCAGTCCTTGCTCCTGACTACAGTTTCTACAGGCTTGCAAGAGGACTGTATTAGTGTTTCTTAAATAAACATTTCCCTTCCAGGATGGAAACCCACCAGACTATTTATTTGGTTGCTTGGAGTGGGCCTGTGAATAGTTTCCCTACAAAATGCTTCTAAAATGTTTAGATTTGAAGCAAAAGTCACTGATCATCCTGAGTTGGACACCTAAGTGGAAAAGTTCTGCTAAGTGTACCCAGCTTGCTTAATGAGGGGGGAGCAACCAGCTTTGTGTTTTCTCTATAAATGGAATCATTTCCATTTGGCGACTCAGTAGGAATTTGTAGGCTCGCCGTGAGTTACTGGAAGGCATATGAAGAGCAATAGCCAAGTTCTTGCTTTCAATAATGGAAGCCATCAATGAGAGAGCTGTCCCCTCTCCACACCCTCCCCGCCTCCATAGCATTCCAGCACTATCCACGTGCCTGACAGGAACTTCCAGAAGTTACTGCCATGAATATAGATCCTCATTTTCATGTTATAGACAAGGGCACGCATGCAATTTCTTCTTCTTTTTAAATGTCAACTTGCAAATGTCCCTCACGGCCATGCAGGCTGTGCATTGCCCAGTGACCTTTGTCCAAGGGACGCATTCCCACATGATTTTGCACATTGTTTTAAGGAAAGTGTCTAGGAGAGAGCTGTGCAGAGTCATTTAGCTAAGATTTCAATAGTGGATGCTGGAGCCTACTGTTTCGTTTTGTTGGTTTTTAAAGGTTTATTTTATGCGCTGTGCTTGTGTCCACAGAGGCCACAAGGGGGCATTGGATCCCCTGGAGCGGAAGGTAGAGACATTTGGGAGTCACCCAACCAACATGGGTGCTTGGATCTGAATTCCGGTCCTCTGGTGGAGCAGTATGAGCTCAGCCACTGAACTATATCTCCAGCCTGCGATTCTTTTACAGTAACAGCCACGGAAATCATCACCGTCTTGAATGGTATGCTTTCTATTTAGGAAGACTAAGATTAACACATGTCTGCACAGCTAAGACCAACACTTAAATTAATGATGCTCCCACTATAGCATGTGACACGAGGTGCTTTCAAAGGCGATCTCCATTTTCATTTTAAATTACTTAATGTAGAAGTAGACTGAAGACATACATGCATATTTGTGTGCATATCTATATATATAAGCATATGGATAATTTAAAATCCAAACCTTTTAAGATAATTGTACATTCATATCAGCTGCAGGGGATAATTTAAAAACCACAATCTGGTGCCCAATTTTTTCTATGAGAGCATCTTTTTTTTTTTTTTTTTAAAGACTTCAACTTTTATTTTTGTGTATGTATGTGTCCCTGCGCATCTATGCTAAGTGTGTGCAGGCACCTGTGAACGCCAGAGGGCAGTGGATTCAGTGGGACTGGAGCGACAGGTGGTTGTGAGTGGCCATGAGCAGTCAGTGCACTGAGCTATCCACTCCAGCCCCTCCAATGAGAATGTCTATGGAACTCTTAACGCATCACAGGCGGGACAACGGTGTAGAGAGTGCCCGTCATGCTGTGCTCAGGTGGGAATATATAGCTTTGTACTGCCTGAGAACCTTGGTGTGCGCCAGCAGAACCGTCTTCCGTCACAGCAGCCATTTGTGCTGTTCTTATACAACCATCCGCACCTTCTAGCTGACAGCTCCTGCTTTCTGCTGGCCTCTTCTATTGTTCTGTCGCCCCAAGAATGGTGTAGAAATGGGATTAGGCAGCGTAAGTGAGGTTTCCTGGGAACTATTCCCACTTGCTGGCTATGTCTCTTCCTGTTGCTGGTGAATGTTTTCTGCCCTGTGCACATCAGGGGTCCCTCTCTGAGTTGTGAATTCTCTGGGTTTTGGGCCTGCATGTATCCCTTGTGACCACATCAGATAATATATAGACGACTCCACATTCATGATTCCTCTGTTGATTTCCCTCAAGCTCTGACAAACATGGTCATGTTATTGCCTACAAGTGTGCCTCTACCAGAATGCCAGCTAGGTGGATGTGCAGGCTTTCTTGGTGACTTTTTTGCTGGCAATATGCGTTAAACTTCTTCAGTGACTTAGTAGTTTCCTTTGTGTCCACACTGTATGGACGCACTACAGTTTACCCCCATCCTGGTGAAGAACATCACGGTGACAGCTTGGGGCAAGGATGAATGAGGCTGCTCTTCATACGTGTGAACGGGTTTTTGTGTGAATCTGAGTTTTCAGCGCACTTGGGTAAATATCTGGGCATGCGATTGCTATGTTGTATAATGGATGTTTGGACGCTTGCAGTTGGTCTCACAGATGTAGCCACATCGTTCTGCATTACCACCAGCGGTGAGCGTTTCCACTGCTCTACCACCTTGCCAGCCGTTGGTTGGTATTGTCAGACGTGGGGATTTCAGCCATTCTCACAGGTACACAGGTCCCTCACTGCTGCTTTCTTTAATTACAGATGGCGCTGAGCTTGTTTGCATCTGCTAACTTGTCATCTGTGCATTCAGTTGTTAAGAGACGTGGCTGGTGAGATCTGTCCCACTTGAAATCATCCGTTGCTTTATCCTTTCTGGCTTTTAAGAGTTATTGTATAGCCTGCACAAAAATCTACTTTATAGCTTACTATTTTATGTGTATCTGTGTTTTGCCTGCACATATGTATTGTAACACATGCATGCCGTACCCGTGGAAGACAGAAGATGCCAAATCCTTTTGGGTTACAGGTGGTGTGAGCAGACACATGGCAGTTGAGAATTGAACTCGGGTCCTCTGGAAGAGCAGCCAGTGCTCTCCAGCTCTGGATGTAAACTGTATAAAAGAGGCTCTTACAGAACAACAAAAAAATTAATTTAATAAAGTTCCACTTCCCAGTATTTTTTTTTTTCATGGATCATGTTTTTGGTGTTATATCTAAATACTCACTGCCTAAACCTGGTTTCCCGATTTTTTTCACATTATCTTCCAGAGTTTTATTTTTGAACTGCATATTTAGGTCTAGGACAGATTTAATTTTTGTAGTGGCAATATGTGCATTTGTTTACATTTTTATTTTATTATTGATCTATATACATGCATGCCTTAGTTTGTCAGTGTGCAACGTGTCCTGAGTTTTCCTCTAACCTCTAACTGAATCAGCAGTATCACACTGAAATGAAAGACAAGTCACTGAAGGACAACTCAAGCCCGTGACATTTCTAGCAACAGCCTGATCAGCACTGACAGTCACTAGTAAATGCTAAGCATGCTCAGGGACGCAGAGTCATAGGGAGAATGGAATAATTGTCCTTGCTCTTTTCCAAATGGGAACATTTAAAAACATCCATTCTTGGGTAAAGTAGGGAGAAATCACCAAGAAAGGCCCACACTGTGAACATCACCAATTCTTGACCGTTAGGCATTGGACAGTAGAAGGCTGATAAACAGTATTTGACCCAATGCCTACACTGTATAAAGAAATCCAGAAAAATGAAATAATCTGTCTAAAGTTTCTAGCTATGACTAGGTTCCAAAGATCCTGGCTTCAAGAACTCTGGATATCCTGTTCTCTTAGAACGGCCATACCTTCACATGTGTACAGGCATGTTTGCCATGTGTGGGCATGCATATGGATGTGTACAAAGTTGATGTTGGGAATCGTCTTCAATTGCTCTTCCTTTGTATTCATGGAGCAGGGTCTTAAAACTCAGAGCTCGTCAATATGGCTGGCTAGTCTCCCTAGGCAGCTGGCTCTTGCTTCATCCACCTCTTTCCTCTCCTTTCTGCAAACATCTGCCTTATCTCCCCTCTCTGTTTCACAGAGAAAAGTCCTTCGTTCCTGGATTATTGCTTAATGTCTGCAAACTATTGGGTACTGACAAGCCTAACTGAAGACAATGTTTTAACCTCCCTGAATTATTGGTCATGAAAATGGGTCCCAGAGGATCCCAAATGGCGCAGTTATTACCATCACTCTTAGCTGCCCAGCAGAACTTGTTAGTAAAATTCTACTGTGGAAGACAGTACACACGCTGGTCAGAGGAGTTGGAGAAATGAAGCTGATTGATCAGGCAGCTTTCTCCCTGCTGGCTAGTTTTCATAGTTCTAGAAGGTGCTATGTGGGCTACTGAGGGAGAAAAGTTATCAGCGGTCTTACGCAGCTGTGACCCTTGTTAGGTACAATAATGCCTGGTCTGAAAAGATAACCTCCTGGGTGTAATAGTAGCATGAATGTCATTGGTGTAACCAATGGCTCTCTAATTGGATTTGAGGCCCCCTGTAAACCTGGCCCAAAACCCAGGGCTGGGGAGTTCATAGGCCCTATAGATGAACCTATTACCATTATGAACATGGTATCAAACAGCCTTCTAAATATGTTGAAAACACTTTTTTGTTTGTTTATTGCATAGGCCCTATAGGTGAACCTATTACCATTACGAACATGGTATCAAACAGCCTTCTAATATGTTGAAAACACTTTTTTGTTTGTTTATTGAGACAGGGTTTCTCTGTGTAGCCTTTGGTGTCCTGGAATTCGCTCTGTAGACCAGGCTAGTCTTGAACTCACAAAGATCTGCCTGCTTCCAGAATAGTGAGATTAAAGGCATGTGTCACCATGCCCAGCTATTGAAAACAATTTAAACAAGATTCCATCTGCAGATATGTCAGTCACCTGGAGACTATAAAACAAAAGTCTGATGAGAACAAAAATGAGCCTCAAGCCAGAGCCCCGATGTTCAAGCCCTTCCTCAAGCTGGTTCCGGGGGCTTCTGTGATATTGGTTGCAGTGCAGCTGGGCTGCTGGGACAGGAAATAAACTGGGCAGACTGCAAACAACAGAAATAGTTCTCACAGTCATAGTGGCTCCCAGTGCCAAGCCAAGAGTCAGCTCGGCTCTCTTCTGGATTATAAGCTACCAACTTCTCTTAAAGCCCTCAGCATTTTAGAATGCACAAGGCAACATCATGGCCCTCTTTTATGAGACCAATAAGGAGCAGGGCTTCTCCTTAATGACCTGTCCACATCAGAGGCGCCATGTCTAAACGCCACCCATTCACAGCACAGGCTTCCTGGCCGTGCCCTCTGCCTGATGCCGCCATTCTCATCCCCACTAAGAAGATATACCCTTTGAAAAGGAAACTTTATTCTCCTAAGTTTGAATTCCTTCCATGGAGCCAGTGATTCCTCTTCTCTCCTTACTGTTACACCAACACTTACAGTACAAATAACTGTTCTGTTTCCCGACTCCATCTTGGGAATTTTGTAAACTTAAAAAAGGTGATATATGAAAATGCCTCAACAAATATTAATGAAAGAATGTATGGATTATGGATTGTATTAATTTCCAATCTTTTTACTAATTTAACTTGTTTACTGAATATGAAACTTGCATTATCAGTAGTCAATTGGTTATCTTTTTTTACAGCGGATTCACACATATTTCTACACTACCTTAGAGTATTTTATAAAAATGTACATTTTGGGGATGGAGCAATGGCTGTGCAATTAATAGCCTTCCAGAGGGCCTGAGTTCAGTTCCCAGCACCCAGTCCAGGCAGCTCATAGCCGCCTAAAACTCAGGCCCAGGGGACTGGGCCCTCTTCTGACTTCCACTGGTTACTTATACTCATTTGCAAGGAGCATGTGCATGCGTGTACTTCCAATACATAAAAACACCTGAAAATAAGCACATGAGTGAATGATTACCAATTACAGCACCAAACTCAGGCGGGTTCCAAACAAATAGCAAATAGCGACCCTGTGATCCCGGCAGGGGAGCATCCTCTGTCAACAGATCTGATGCTGCATTCATTTCACTGAAACAGCCAATGCTGGTCCCATCACAGGGCTGTACAGGCTGGTGCTAGGGACAGCAGAGAAACATTTGAGGAACACTTCCCATTTTACTTTCTCGCTCAGATTGTCTTACTCCTGAATACACTGAATACTGCTTTTGGAAGAAGGGCATATTTAAAGGAGGGCGTGGCTTCATATGGTGGGATAAAGTGCTGTCCTCCATCTTGAAATGCCCCCTGAGACCAGCCACTGCACTCTCGTGCTGAGTGCCACAGAGATTCCCCTGAGAAACGAGTTTCAAGCAATCTTAGTTCCCATCACTCCTGCTCATTACAGAAAGATGATGCGATCCAATATTTGCTAATTATGATCGAGACCAGAAACAGAGCACATTTCAAAGGAAACAACGGAAACACACATCTGAAAACCATTTCCTGCTGCTCTCCGTTACCCTGCTACTCACGGCAGATCTTCCAGTTTGGAGGCTTCATGTCTTGGATCCAACAGGTCATAGCCACATTCATTGTAGATTTCCAAGTAAGAAATGTGTGTTGTGTAGATCTTGCTGCTATCCTGGATGGAGAAGGGAAAGGCATTGTTAAATGACTAAAAACAACTGTTTGGCTAGAGAGAAGCACACCATTTGTCTTGGACTTTTCCATTTACATGGTTTACATTTGCAGTTCGTGACACTTTTGAGCTGCTGTGGCCGTCTGCATGAGGTGTTTTTTTTTTCGCCCATTTTTTCTTTTTCTTTCTTTTCTTTTTTCTTTCTTTTTGTAATAGCCAATATTCATGATTATAAGGAACTTCAGTCTGTTAGTTTTTATTGGTTCCACATTATACATAAAATGCCAATATACACTTACAGTGAGCCAAGTTGGTTGTAGAACTGAATAATACATCATTTCTTACTTTCCAGAGCCCCCCAAAAGGTTACTAAGGAAGCACAAATAAACTTACAATCTGTGACATTCTGTGAACAGTCGATTCATAAACAGCAGAGCTTATTGCTTTGGTTCAAAGACCAGGAGCCAAAGTTTCCATTCATGATCATAATTAACTTTCCTTTACTTTCCTACTACTCAGAATTTTATGTTCTTTTAAAACAAGATTTAATTATTTACTCTGTGCGTATGTGTGGTGTTTGTGTGTGTGCACACACGCGCACGCAAGAGTGCAGGTACCCACAAAGACCAGAAGAGGGCATCAGATCCCCTTGAGCTAGAGTTACAGGCTGTTGTGAGCCACCCAATGCCGGTGCTGGGAGTGAAACTCCACCCTTGGTAGAGCAGGGGTGCTTCTAACATGCTCCCATGTGATAATAAGTTATGAAATGCCCCTGCCCTTGCAAACTGACATAAGAGAAGGATGTCTACAGTATTTCAAGTCCTACCAAAAATACCTGGGCACCAATGAACCACTGTGGCTGTTTGCTACCGTTACTGCCATCGATAACTGTTTTCAAGGATTATGTCTAGAAGCCTCTAAATGGTGAAGTGAGTGTGACAGATTTCCAGAGAAGTGTAACTGGGGAGGAACCCCCCACCAGAATATGGATGGCACCTTCCCATGGACGGGGGTCCTGAGCTGAGTAAGTGGGTAAAGAGAGGAAGGGGCTGAGTACCAGCATTCCTCATGCTTCTTCCTGACTGTGGACACACTGTGACCAGTGAGGTCATGTTCCCACCCCCATGCCCTCCCCACACAGGGAACTTACGTCTTCAAATACTGAGGCAAAACACACCCTAATCTAAACTGCTTTCCTGGGGTATTTTGTTACAGCCAGCCCTGGCCAAAGTAGCTAAAATAATACAAGGGTATAAAAGGAATGGGCATGAGAAAAGGACAGAGAACTTAAGTCATCTGTAATGGGGACGCCTTCTCCTGTAGAATTAGAGTCCGAAGCCAGCAGTGGCTGGCCCACTGCCCCGGGGATGAGGACACCGCCGTGGCCCCTCCAGCTTCCCCTTCTCCTGCAGTTTTTCTGGCATACATGCTCCCATCTCACTGAGTGATGTGGCAAGCTACCTTTCTTGGTCCTTTTCGGCACCTGGGTTGCCAGACTGAAATGTAACACACGTGTTTCCTGCAGACAGATAGTTCTTCTGCCGCAAACAAGTTTGACCTCACAGTGCTCCGATGTAAGGAGACTCAAGCTCTCAAACAAATGGAGCCCTCCCAAGTTCAGTGAAAATGTGTTCTCCCTCCCAGGCGGTTCACAACACACCACACACTGGGCTCTCGGCTGGTCTTGAAGAAGGACTCGGCTTTAGGCTCCTGCTGAGCTCTCAGATCTAGGGCAATCCTGTAGGGGCCTCTGACTTAAGTCTGTGTTTTCCAGTCTCCAGTGTGGACACACTTTGTGGGGCACTGTGAGATGCCCTGCTTGTTTCAGTACAATCCACTGTGATTATAACGAAGGGGTGTGGCCCATGGCAGAAAATGGTCCATTTCAGTTTCCCTGGCTGCAGGGGGGCTTTCTCCAAGTCCAGGAAAGCACTCGGGATGATTCAGAACTGAACAAGGTTTTGAGTGACATCAATGACAAGGATGTCCCAACAACTCTGGCAGATGGTCCATGCCCTGGAGACTTTGAGATGTCCAGAGGTGTTCTTTGGTTAGCACAGAGAATATTTTAGAAGACACAAAACATACTTTCCCCTAGGAGAGTATTTGTTTATTTTATTCAGCCTATCCAAGGAAATTGGCTTCACTGGTTCTAAGAGCATCAAAAGGTTTTCTGAAATGGTCCAGGCATCATTAGGCCACCAGAACGTATATGAATATTAATGAGTATGGGAATAATCATTAAGTCTTTACATATACAAATATTAATGGTATGGTAATAATGATCATGAACTAAGCATATCCAGTGTGCCCAGAACTTTATTTGTTTTTATTACTTTCACTTGCCTGTTTAATCTCTGTGGGTATGTGATGAGAATATAGAGCCTGGAAGAGGGTGGTGGGTCCCCTGGAGCTGGGGTTTACACAGTGAGAGCTGCCTGTACCTTGGAACAAAAGCCAAGTCCTTAACCAACCCTCCAGCCCCAGATCTTAAAATACTGTGCCTGTCACCCACCACAGCTCCATGACATTGAGACATGAAGCCACATGCCATCTGTGGGACACATCCTCAAAACCCAAACAGCCTATGCAAGCCTGCCCATCCTTTAGGATGGCAGCTTTCCACTTTGGTCCATGGCAACAACAGCTATTGGAAATTATAGCCCCTGTTTGTGAAGTACATGAACAAGGAAATGCAGGTAGTGTCAGAAAAACAGGAGATGCGAAGGGTTCTGGGTGTGGCCCACAGGCTCTACTCAGCCCATCGTCCTGCGCTTTTCTGGCGCACACGTTTGGCACTCTTGGGCCCGTGAGAGAAGAGCTGAACTAATGGTAATTGCTGCTTTCTGGCTGGCAATTAGAATTATGCGGATCTCAGCAATTTCTTCTCATCTTTGCAGCTCAAAATGCAAATAACATTCAGTAGGGAATTCCAGAGCGACGATTACAGCAAGCCAGTTAGACATTTAAACAGAATCCAAGGACTTGCTGGAGCTGGAAGGAAGACAGAGAGCTTCCAGAGCAGTTCAACCCCTTGCTTTCAGAAAATGGAAAGCAGAAACCCACAGAAGTTAAATGACTCATCACAGGAAATGGATCCAAACCCGGCCAACAACACAAAGCCAATGGGAGCCACAGAGGAAGTGGAGGCAAAGCGAGGCGGCAGTTTGGCTTAAAGAGCTGTGGGCTGCTGGCTCTTGTGAGATGTGGACCCAGAGAAAACTGTCTCAATGGAGGCTTAGTTTTAGAGTTTCCAACTATAGTATGGGACTAAAGACGCCTAGTCTGCTAGTTACAATATATGTTGTACTAAAAAAGCCACATCTGGGGGCTGGAGAGATGGCTCGGTGGCTTAAAGCACTTGTTCCATTTACGGAGGGCCTGGGGTCAATTCTCAGTGACCAGATGGTTTCTCACAACTATCCACACTCCAGTTCTTCTGGCGTCCCTGGGCACCAGCATGTGTATAGTACACAGACACACATGCAGGAAAAACATTCCTAAGCAGGTGACACATCCAGCAGGGATAGGAATGCCTCTAGAATAGGGCTGCAATGGGCTTTATTTCCTGGCAACCCAGAATATGGTAAGTGATAATCATGCCATATGGCTAATATGGTTATTCTAGGGCTAGAGAAAGAGTTGTTTTAGTACAAGCGTTTCTAACTGCAGAGTGTAAGATACTAGTTACCCAAGCAGGGAGACAGCTCAGGGGATGAAGGGCTTGCCGCGCCAGCAGGCAGATCTGAGTTCAGATCCGCAGCACCCTGTGAAAGGCTGGATACGGTGGTGTGTGTGGCAGTAACCCTAGCGCCATGCTGGGGGAGAGAAGGACATCCCCAGAGTCCACTCACCAGCCAGGCAAATCAGCGAGCCCATGTTCAATTCAGCAAAAGACCCTACCCCAAAAGCCAAAATACAAACAAAACCAGTGGAGAGCAAGAGAGGGCCTTGCACATCCACTTCTGTATCCCCCCCACACACATATGCAGGCCCACACACCCAGACACCCCACTCCACCACAGAAGCGCTATCTCTTTCTCTCTCTCTGTCTGTCTCTTTCTCTCTCTCTAAGCCCTGTAGACATTTCAGATGGAGCCCCAGCCTTTGACAAAGTCCTAACCATGGTATGAGAAGCACCTTCTTAATTTCCACTCCTCCAGCAAGGTCTGAACCTTTCTTTAAATGTGAAGGCCCGAGGTACAATAGCACATTCCCAAGCAGGCTCAGTGTAATAGATGCCTTAGCACATTTCCACGCCAAGGTCTATTTCTGCTGAATATATCAAATTAAATGTGAGCTTTTTTTTTTTCTTTACCTTATGCAACTGCTCAAAAATGTATGACAGAGTCCTGGGGATGATGCCTCTGTCGCTGTAGCGTTCAGCCCCACCTGTGATGGTGAATGTCTTGCCACTGCCTGTCTGCCCATATGCGAAGATGGTACCATTGTAACCTGCCAAGACACTGCAAGAAGAAACGACAGAGTTTTAAAGGCTAAACTGATACCCACATTGGTACTAGGTGCCTCATAGTCGAATAGCAACCTTATGAATACCACTGAAAACATATTTATAAGCTATTTATAGATACATGGCATTCCGGCTAGAATTGTACATGAGTGTATCATATCTACATGCGACTGTGTAGGAGTGCATCCGGTACATATGGAGGCCAAAGATCCACACCGTGCACCTTCCTTCCCAAACCCCTTCCCCTCCTATGATTTTGAGATGGCCCTCTCTTGCTGAATGCAGGGAGCCCCCCCCCTCCCTGTCTCCACTTGCCTATCTCTTGGATTATAGCTTATGCTGCCAGGCTCAGCTCTGACGTGGATGCTATAGACCAACTCAGGTCATCATGTTTGGGAGGGGGTAGTAATTTCCCCAATGAGCCATTTCCCTGGCCTTCAGAATAGCTTTTAATCTAGGAATTTGGGGATATTGGTGCCTTTCTCTAAGGAAGGCCATGCCACTCAAATGTACTCCAGCATCAGAATACTGACTTGGGGTTTTAGTGTACTAGACTTAAAGAATGAGTTGAGAAGATCATCTCAGGGAAGATCATCTCAGGGAAACACTTGTGATTTGACAAGATGTCTGTCTGCTGCTCTATGTAACTCCCTGGTAAATACTCACATCTCTAGCCACCCCTACATTACTAAACACACCCTTTACAACTGTAGATCTTGCAATGTATTTCTCTGTGTAAAACCTAACAGAATGCCCCCCAAGAATGATTTTGTTGTTGTTGGCCTATTTGTGGTATTCAGCCCAGCCAAGCATCCCATGATTTGAGAGGGTTCTTAGGAAGCCTTCGAACTGCCATCTGTAATGCAGGCTTTTGACGGTGTGCGCTGTAGGATGTGGGCTTTGAAGAGTGGCCTTTTCTCTAGGCCACACGGAGCAGGAAACTTGCGGTTTTGCTGTCTTCCTCGCCACAAATGGCTCCTGGATCCCCAAGATGGTACCCTCAAGCCGGCTACCCACGTGGGTTTTAAGTGGACAGCTCCTCTGCAATCCCTTTCACCTTTTGCACTGAGAACCCTGCTCTACCCCAGCTGCTGAGATTCTGTGGACAGCTCACTCTAGAGATATCTCTTTGCTTTTGTGACCTATTGTCTGCCTGCATGGTGTCCCCAGATAACACAGGGCTTGCCCAGACCTCATTGGGAAGACATCAGTTAACCCTCAGCATCTTATGCAGCTAAAACCTCACAAGTGATGTGTTCAGTGCTTTGCTAGTATTCCTTACAAACCTGGAGAACTTAGTGCAGAGAGTGGTGGAAACAAAACTACAGTGTCAATGCTCTGCTTTCAATACAGTGAATCGTGTTGCCACCTGCGTCCCCACATTGAAACTGTCCACTGTTGATGCAGGGAGTTGGATTGTTACTGAATCTTTTCCATCAATGGAATCTGTGGCCAGGGAGACAGAGGTGTCTCGTTAGAGCATCATTGGTATGTTGAGTGTTTCTTGCCACGGATGTCCTGAGTAAATGACCTGGGTATACAATTTGACGTAACCGACCTCACTGTACCAGTTCTTGACAGAATGAACTGCTAAAATACACAAGGCGTTATCAGTTGCAAAAAAGCAAAGAAAATGAGGAAAAATTAGCATTTCCATTTTAACATAGGTACGGCCTATGAAAAGTGTGTGTCCTCACTGACCATCCATCTGATTTTTATGTCAGAATCTTATCTCAGATTGCTAGTCACCTGTCTGTCTGCTTTAATATTCTGTTTTCTTATCTGCTACTGGATGGAAAAATCAGACGCCAACAACACAGGGTTTTGTTTTAACAAAAGAACGTAAGACCCACCTAGTGTCCCTAGGTCCCATGTCTGTGCATCACACTGCATTAGTGAACAATGGAACAATGGTGAAATCTGCCCATCCCCTTTGTCTGGAAACTCCTTATCCAAAATTAACCTGGCGCTCACTCCTCAATGTGTCCCAGGCGTTTTCACATGCTATTCTAGTCTGCCCTGAGAGAAAACACAAGTTTAAAATAAGATGGAGACATGATGACGTCTAAGCTCCATTCATCCACAAGGACAATGGTACCACAGCAAAAGGTGTCCTCCTGACCCTGAAAAGTATCTCAACATGTTAACATGACCCACAGCTCCGGTAATGCTTAAAACCAACACCAACAACAACAAAAACTCAGCAGAAACCTTGAGTTTCGTGGTGCTTCAACTTCAGAATTCCTAGCCCTTTGCCCCAGCTCCAAGGAAGCCTTCAAAAAAATATGTCTGAAATGGACAGAACTAGAAAAAAGACAGCCAGAGCCAGAATGACAAATATAACATGTACTCACTCATAAGTGGATACCAGCCAAAAAGCCAAAGATACCCAGCCTACAATCCACAACCCCAGAGAAGCTGGAGCCCTCTTCCAGAAACAGACGGAAGCAGATGCAGAAATTCACAATTAACCAGTGGACCAAGCTCCTAGAGTACAATCGAAGTGAGGGAGGAGCGATAATATGAACAAAGGAGTCAAGACCATGATGGGGAAACCCACAGCAGCACCTGACCTAAGCTAGTAAGAGAGCACTGACTCAGGTCTGAGAAATGGGGAACCTGCATAAGACTGAACTAGACTCTGAATACAGGCGACAATGGTGTGACTGGGACACTATATGAGGCCACTGGCAGTGGGTCCAAGATCTAACTCTAATGCACAAACTGACTTAGTGGAGCCCATTCTATATGGAGAGATGCCTTGCTCAGCCTCGACACAGGGGCGTGGGGGTGGAGCATTGCCTTGGTCTACAGACTTAGTAGACTTCCTAGGGGAGGTCTTATACTCTCCTAGGAACAAATAAGGGGTAGGGGAGGGGAGTGGGGGAGCAAGAGGAGAGGCCGGAGGGGGAACTGAGATTAGAATGTAAACAATAAATTAATAAAAACCCTAATAACCCTAGAGGTATGCGAGCTATGAACCCTGAACAGCTCAGTCTCTCCGGCTGAGCATCCTCACTCTGGTGAGCCCTGGCTCCAGGCGGAGTTAACATCCGCATCTCCTGAGGAGACAACAGCAGTGATCCAAGCCTGAAGGTAGCCAAACGCTTACAAAAATGACTGCAAGATGCTTTGAACAGACCCTTGACACCTCTGGGTCATACTAGAAGGCCGTACCCAAGGCATATGCATATTGAGAAGGGACTTGGGAAGAGTTTTTTAATCTCCCCTCTGATTGGCCTTGAGTCTCTGTCACAAGGGGTGAATGGCAGAAGGATAGAGCTACAAAACTCTAGCTATTGAAGGTGTATCTTTACACATGGGCAGAAATGCCCCTGTGGCAGCCGGGAAAGATGTGCAAAGACATTTAAGAAACACTTTACCCACAGGGCTGACCTCTCTGTTAATTGGGCAGAGGCTACATGCATTAGTTACATTTCTGTTTCGGGGGGGGGGGGAGGTTGCTGTCCAAGATAACTACACAGATGCACAGACTCAGGCCAACAGCTCGAGGGATAAGGTGCATGATGGCAGCAGACATGTCGACCAGAGAGAGCAGGAAGCCAAGGCTTCGACTTCTGAACAGAAAGCAGGAAGCAGAGAGAGCAAACAGGAAGCAGGGTGAGGCTTCAAACTCTCAAATCCTGCCCTCTCCACAAAGCACCACCTCCCTGCAGACCAAGTGTTCAATTACTGCAAGTCAAGGTGGCATCCATATTTAAACCTCCTGAGGGCACAGAGATGAACGATAACTAAGGGATCATGGGAGGTTCTCTGGTGGGGGGGGGGGGCAAAAGGACTTTCTGCTGTGGCTGTGAGGACTTGAGTTTGAATCCCCAGCACTCACACAAAAAGCCGGTGTGGTCATGTGCGCCTCTGTGACCCCAGCACTGTGGGAGGGAAGTGTCCGGGTTGGAGCTGGCTGGCCACCAGCCTAGCTCTAGGTTCAGTGAGAGATTCTGTCCCTGGAAGCAATGATGCACACAATGATAGGATGGGACGCCAGCCATCCTCCTCAGGCATAGGCTTCACAACCAAAGAATAGGGAAAATGGTGCTGAAGATTTGATCTATCACTGCCCCTCTGCTTCTTTGCCAGAATGGACACAACTTTGGTAAAATCTCTGTGGAAACTCAAGGGTGTGTATAGACGAAACAGTCTTGGCAACAAGGACAAAGGTGAGCCCTCGTACTTTCCACTCTTGACTAATCAGAGGGCTAAAGTAATTAGGGCAGTGAAATGCTGGCAAAGGGCAGGGATATGAATCACCGGAATTCCACTGCGAGCCCAGAATCAGCTCCCACACACAGACTGGGGTACAGTGCGGTTGGCTAGCATTGCTTCAATGCTGTCTCTCAATTTATAGTCGGTTCTTTTCCAAAAGTGGTGAAGAGATTATTCAACAGAAGCAAGGGTAAGGAAAAAATATGAAAATGAACAAAGTGGGACCAAGCTGCTAAAATTGTGTACATGCACACGGATGTGTGGGCACATGGATGCAATCGTCCACAGATATCTGACGAGGACATCCGAGCCTGTGGAGATGTGTGCACATGGATGCAATCGTCCACAGATATCTGACGAGGATATCTGAGCCTGTGGAGATGCCCGATACTGGGAACTGAACTCGGGTCTTCTGCAAAAGTAGTATATACTCTTAGCAGCTGAGTCATTTCTCAAGCCCACTTTTGGTGCAAATCACATTTCTTGCAAGGGAATTCACATTAAACCTGCAAGCCACAGCACATCAGATAATATATCACAGCATATCAAAAGTCAGTTGAAAAGGAGAAAATGGGGCTGGTAATATGACTTAGAGAGTTAAGGTGCTTGCTGCCATATCTGAGGAACTTGAGTTCAATCCCTGGAACCCACATGGTAGAGAGAACTGACTCCTCTGACTCCACCCCACACCTCCCACATACAGATACCCGCACCACACACACACACACACACACACACACACACACACACACACACATACACACACACATA